CCCCCCGCCATTTCCAGCTACACCCCTCGCGGTCTACTTGGGACCAGTCCGCGGACTACGGGTCAACCATGATCGCTAGGTTGGGCAACCCTGCTTTACAGCATAAGTGTCAAAGTCTGGTCCTCAGGGGCCTCTTTCCTGCATGTTTTCCATCTCCCCCTGCTGCACCAACCCTGATTCGAATGATCAGCTCATCAGCAAGCTCTGCAGGAGCCTGATAAGGATCCTGATCATTTGAGTCAGGTGTGTTGGAGAAAGGAGAGATGGAAAACATGCAGGATAATGACTGAATCAAGTTCAATCTGTCTCTTACTTATAATTGAAGTTGTTGGTTCCTTTATCTCACACATTTGAGCGAGGGGGTGGGGGGGTTGTTATTTACCTGACATGTTTCAGCGGAATAAGAAATAAATTGAAACATGACACATGTACCTGTGGTCTTAAGTGCTTTGGAGCAGTCCCTCTGCAGCCCTGGCCGACTTTCCGTCAGTGTTTGATTATGCTTCTTTTTCACACGCCTTACAGAAAAATTCCTCACCCTGTCAAATACAGGGGAAGTTACCAAACCACTAAGGTTTGATTGGAGGTTTTATGTCGCGATTAAAAAGTTTTTCCACTGTGTGTTATTCTTCAACACGAGAGGTCGTCATTCATAAGTTTTACGTGACTTAGGAGCAATGTAGTTTGTTATGCGACACAATATTTGCATTTTTATCCATTCTAGGATTGCAATTGGAGTGCCAAATAGGTAACGCCTGCTAGCTTGCCACCAGCAGCAGATGTAAACAATGCGCCATTTTTTACGTCGATATAATTTTGCGTCACTTTGTACAATTATATTATTACAAAGAGATTCAGTCAAGGAAAGGTTAAACTGTTTTTTGGATTGATTTAAAAAGGCAAGATTGAAGCTTATCCCTTCATAAAATATCAATGACTTGTGTGCTCCAGGGAGGAACCTTGTACATTGAAATGGCAGATATTACCACTTTACATGATGCTACTTTTGTTGATTTTTTTAAACCTGATATCTCTTCCCCCTTTAGGCTGCAGGGTTGGGCCGCCTAAAGCCCAACATTCTTGTACTTGGCTTCAAAAATGATTGGAGAGATGGTGACATGATGAATGTGGAGACATACATGAGTATGATCCAGTAAGTTTGAGCCATTTTACTCATCATATAAATAATAATCCCTCACCCAAGTAGGCCTAAATGTGTTCAGTGTGATTTTAATGTATCCTTCAATATTAGTTTTTTTTTCTTAAAAATTAGACTAAAACTTGTCATATTTAATTCTGCTGATTGATTTGAGTTTGGCGATTTGATGGCCTGTTTTGTTTTTATCCCTTTCTCAGTGATGCTTTCGACTTTCAGTATGGTGCTGTTATTTTGAGATTGAAAGAAGGATTGGATGTGTCGCATATCCATGGACAAGGTATGTTGCGAAATGTTTTTGTTCTCGACCAAAATTTTCAGGCATCCTGGTGGATTAAATCAAGTTAAAGACACTGTCAAATTAATTTGGCGATTTGATTATACAGTCATACTTTGGTTTTCGACCATAATCCGTTCCAGAAGGCTGTTCGAAAACCAATTTGTTCGAAAACTGAAACCATTTTTTCCATTATAGTCAATGTAATAAATTTTCATCCGTTCCAAATCTAGAAAACAACTTTTTTTTAAAGCATTTTTTACTATTTTACACCATAAACTGTATGCACATTTAATAATAGAGCAGGTAATATGTAAAATTCTGTACAAACAAACTGTACAAACATTTTGTATGTTTTATTTTTTACCAATTTTAACATAAACATTAACATTGTAACATAAAAATTCAAGTAACATCTCTCTCTCCATCTCTCTCTCTCTCTCTCTCTCTCTCTCTCTCTCTCTCTCTCTCTCTCTCTCTCTCTCTCTCTCACATCGGGACAATTGTAAATTATATTATTTTACACCTTGAACTAATAAACATAAACGAATATTTGTGACCTTTGTTTGCTAAACACACGAGATCCTTTAGCCACATCAGTGATTTAAGATGGTGTTTCTTTTTTAGGATGCTGCCGATCTCCTTAGCCAATGCAGACACATGTACAACTGATTCATATTTCGCGATCAATTCTTTCTTAAATTCAATGATTTTGCGCACTATTTTCCTCTTTTTTTCACCAGCTTTACAACTTCCACTTTTTTCTTTGGTGCCATGATTAGGGGCTGATACACAATGCAGAAATAACAGTCCGATTTGCGTCGATGTCAGCAAACACGATGCTTTTTAAAAAAAAAAAAAAAATCTTCATTGAACACATCCGCTGATGTTGGACGCTCTTTTTTTTTTAAAATCTTTATTGAACACGTCTGCTCACAATGGAACGCTACACAAGGAAGCGTCACTTCCTCGTCTGCCCGAGGAAGCGTCACTTCTTCGTGTAAGGAAGGCGAGAGGAGTCGAGTGGCGCATTCAAGTGCGCTGAGTTTGGTTGAGAACCGATTTTCGGTCGTAATCCGAGGCATAAAAAAACTCTAAATTTTTGGTCGAAAACCGATTTGGTTGAGAACAGAGACGTTCGAAAACCGAGGTTTGACTGTACATACAATTCATACTCTGTAATGCATGTTTGCAAAGAAGTAGTGAAAATGTGGAATGACTGTGATGTGGGAGGGAAAGGTTTTTTTTCTCTCTCTCTCTCTCTCTCTCTCTCTCTCTCTCTCTCTCGCTAAGCACGTATTGCAGTCCACAAAGTCTTTTTTCCGTTTGTTCGTCGTCAAATCAACTGTTATTACAACGCGATAATGCCACGTGGCAAGTGGCAGTGCTGCAAGTACCGTTAGCATCCAAATCCTATATAGTATAGTTTTTTTGGAGGGGGGCTGGGGTGGATGGTTGGGAACCAATGCTGTAGCCTCTACTTCTGTGAAGTAAAAATTAATAACAAAAATAGTTTGATATTACAGTACTGGTTGACTCTAACCCTCTGTTAAATTCATAGTAAGGTTCATAAAAAGTAAAAATTTTGCTCAAGATTTTGGGGTGGCCAGTGGACCCACTGAATGAAGCATGTTTGTTTGAAAACAAGAACGTGAGTGCTTCCTATCCTCTCCTGCATTGCCACCCAGTATAGAACGCAAGTACTGTAATACAATGCAGGCAAATAACATGGGGCGTATCAAATGTTCATTTTAGTCGATGCTACTGGCAGCTAAAATAATGGATGACTGTAATTTGAACACCCCTGATTTAAACCACACAAACCTTTTGGATACTGCCCCCTAAAAGAATCAGAATCTAGCATTGTTTGGAACCAGAATTGAAACAAGGAACCGGATATGAAACTGCAATTGTTCAAATTTAAACAATGCCCAACCCTAATCATTGGTTTATTACTAGTATGCAATATACAATCAAATGTATTGTCATGTATGTTACACATACGTACAGCACATTTGACAATGAAGTTGTATTCAATTCAATTCAATGTAGTGATTGCCACATGCTGACTATTACGTACCCTTGTGTTTAATCAATAGTTCAAGTTCCTTGAAGTGTATGACATAACCAAGCTGACTAGCAGCTCAGTCCAGATGAGCGCTTCCCAGCCAATCCCATCATGGAGGAAACAAATGTGAGATCCAACGAAGGCGGCACAAATGTGGTTGTGTGTGTGTGTGTGTGGTTGTGTGTGTGTGTGTGTGCGTGTGTGTGTGTGTGTGTGTGTGTGTGTGTGTGTGTGTGTGTGTGTGTGTTAATTGTGGTGTGTGTGTGTATGCATCAAAGCGTCCTCGGCTGGTGCGCCAAGCATATCGTCTCGTTGCCATGGAGACAACCTTGGCCATCTCAGTCCAGGACACAAGTTGGAGGCTGGATGAGATAAGAGGACACTAGCATCCAAAGCAATAATCTTTATCCGGGGGGAAAGTCGAGATAAGTAATGTTTTGGGACCGGGCCGACAACAATTTGGTTGACCTCGACTCCTTAAGCCTGTAACTCTCAGTGGGGCTTCGGTTCGCCATATTGTCAATCAACTGCTCATTGGTGGTTGCCATTTTGTGCAGGAACTCAAAAAGGCTGAGTGTTGATTGCAGCCTTTTCTATCCTAATGAAGCTGCTGTCATCTGCTGAATTATGCAATAGATCAGGGAACTGCCACTTCCAAATAGCAGCATGCCCATTCTCAGAAATCCAATCATGTAGATGTCCTTCACATCCTCTATGGACAAAATTGTTTGGCACACCTTTTTCTTCCAATTGCCCAAGTAATCTACGGTCCACCAAGTGGCAAATGTCCCAGAGAGGCAAGAAGCAACCCTCTTCTCGTTAAGAAAATGTTGATTGATTCGAGCGCCCAGCTGATCAATTCCATGGTTAGTTTTTTGGGGGGGGTAAAGTACAGTAGGAAGCTAGGATGATCGTGGAGACAGAGGATGGTTGGAGGAAGAGGATGAAGTAGGCAAAGCAGGGAGATGAGGGTCTGAGAGGGAGCAAAGCAAAAAGTGTCCACCTCTGTCGACTGCCAAGCAAATATATCTTCTCGGCTCAAACATACAGGGATGTGCAGGCAACATATTTGATTGAAAGTTCAAAGTTTAAAAGAACTTATGGTTTGATTCAATATCGTGCGGCTCTGTTCGAGAGGTTATGATGCAATGACTTTTTTTGTTCTCATTTTACATATATTTGAATGAAATTGTCAGGACTGAAAATGTTCCACTTCCTTCTCAGATGGAACTCTCCAAAAAAAACGATTGGAAACATATCTCAATATATTTCAAAATAGAACAATTTGGTTCAATTCGATGCCCGCGCCTCTTTTAAATTTAAAAAAAAAAAAAAGATTTTCCATTTGTGAATTCCCAAATTCAAATTTGGCCATCTTGTTCACACGTGTCAGTTTTATGACATTTTCACTTTACGGCGACTTTTAATCCATTGAACGTCTTTTTCCTCCATTTCTTGCAGACGACTTGCTCTCATCCCAAGAGAAGTCCTCTGGAATGAAAGATGTGATTGTGTCCATTGACACCAGCAAAGACTCTGATGTGGATTCATCAAAGCCGTCTTCCAAAGCTACAAGCCTACAAAACAGTCCAGCTATACAAAAGGGTAAGAAAATTCATGGAAATGTTGACTGCACTTGTTCAGATGGACTTTTTTACAGTTTACTTCGGCAGAAGCCTGGTGATGTCTTGTTTAATTTATGGACTCATTTAAAACTCTTAGAAGAAATGGCTTTCAATTCTTTTTAATTTATTCAATGCATATAATGAGACTGGTCAATAGGTTTGAAAGCTACCAATTTTGTTAACGCAGTGACAATAGCCCTTGTGGAACACCAGTGATTAAACATGTTGTCAGTCCTTTTTACACACTGTTTTCCACAATCAGAATTGTGCTGGTTTATTTATAGCCGTAGTCAGTGGTCTGTCGATGTTTATTGTTTTTATTTTTCTGACTCAGAGGGTGAGGGGTTTTTGGTCAAATGTTATGAGCTTGGCTATATCGACTGTAGCTAAGTTGGTTCATAGATCACTGTCAAAAAAAAAAGTGATTTGGTATGTAGATTTGTCACAAGCTGATCAAGGTCAAGAAATTGCGCGTGTAATTTTTCAGCTGATCAGTATTGGGTGAAAAAGTTTTTTTAGATGTTGTTTTTCTTTTTTCTTTTTTTTTTTGGTCACAAAGTGGTAAGGCAAACAAAAATTCCAAATGAGGTACAAGCAACGATAATACATTCTCTAATTCTAAGAAATTGCCAAATAAATAGCAGTTTAGGCTCACAGTTGTTTTTCCTTTTGCTGCTTAGCTCTCAGTGCCCAGTCCAGGAACGAGTAATGTGTGGAACAACACTGAAATATGAATATACAAGATCTCTATGTTTTAAAACACGATTCTCAAATCAAAATATCAATACTTTTAACACTTTAGTGATACAAGCAGTAATGTACAGCACTGGTCTCCAACCCCCGGACCGGAACCGGGCCACTACACATTTTGTACAGGGTCACACAGTGGGATAGACAATTATTAGTATTATTCATTTCTTTTTATATATACATCACCGCTCCTCAACCCCCACCCCATTGATTACCTTCCATAGGGCAATATAAGATGGGCTGGTTGATCATATGATTTGAGAATCCTGATATTACGGTGACCAGCCGTGAGCAGTTACTCCATCCAACACTGAAGGAGGAAACTCTTAGTTTGTAGTTTGCAATATACTGCATCTTTAGTGACAACAGTTCTGGAACTTTTTGACGCAGCTTTTAGTGTGTTTGTTTTGCTCTCTTTCTTCCTATTACATAGGTTTGCCACTTTCCTTGATCCCCTCAAATAAAATGAATAACAAGTGGCAGTTAAAGTAACAACCTCATTTAATTTAACCTTATACTAGATTTTTTTTTCTTTTCAAAAAACATTTTCATGGTTTATAGTTTGAAAACATTCACCGTATTCAAAGTTTTTTTTTTTTTTGTCTTTGTTTTTTGAAAGTAGTATTTAAGCCTGACCTCTCCCTGTCAGCCATTTTTGAAATTATGTCATGAATGTACATCAGAATCAGAGAGCAGCGATCTGTTGTCAGCGATGAGCTCCTCCATTCAGCCTTTTCAATTAGAACCAGAGCGTGGCCAAAGACATGACAAAGCCTGTGATAAAATGTAAAGCCGATGTCATGTTTACCGAAGTAATTGTTGTCCATGACTCGGACACCCATGTCTCTGTCTGAGTGGATGCATCTGTCATCTGTCAAGCGGCGAACATTGTAAGCCTACAGATGTCAGGCTGCTCTAATGGCATTTAGCATTGTTCGTTTCCTCCGTTGCAAATTTGGTGGCCGAGGTGCATCGGCAGCTGCAGCTACTCAAGAAACAGAGTTTTCCAGGTACATGTCGAACACCCTCTGTCTTTCATGTCTTTTCTGCGTCACTTGTGGGAATTTAGCCCTCTTCTCAAGCAATATGGTAGGCACTGCATTTGGTTTTAACTGTCTTTTATAGCCAGACACACCAGTGAGCTCTTTCATGATCTCAGGGCGATGAAAAGTCTGAAATTGGTCTGGGTCAAAGTAACAAGAGCACAATGGAAGGAGGGACTCTGGAAGCTTGTGTACAGATGGGAAAAGTGTGTGACAGTGCTGGGAGACTATGTTGAAAAAAAAAAAAAAAGCTTCTATTATCTGTATTAGAAGTCCTTCTACCGAGAAATTCACCTTATTTATTGAATGGCCCTGGTATTACCTCTATACGTTTTTTTTTTTGTTTTGTTTTTTTGCATGTTCTCATTTATTTATTCATGTATTTATTTGCTTGCTGTTTAAAATCTAACTGAACATGACTCGATACCTCTTTTTCATATCTGATACCAATACTGAAGCCTCAAGGATCGACTGATACCGATCTGATTCTTTTTGCCACTCTAAAAGTTATTACATGGATATAATTTGCTTTGTACTGAAACCTCAAAAGACTACATCCGTTGTCCAGCAACTGTTTTAAAAACAGTTCAGTTCGACTGTGCTAGTTTGGTTCACGTCTTGTGCGCGTGCGACTCTATCTTGTGTTTTTAGTGAGATGCAGCAGTGTACAGTATTGATAATACTCAAGAAGCTCACCATCGTTTGGCTAAGAATGTCTACGGTGCTCTTTCTGCATAATTTCATTACTAGTTTATGTTCTATGAGTTCTGAAACCATTCATGATCCCCATCAGAATTTGAAAAGAGTGGCACAAGATATGTTTCGAGTGGCAAATGATTGATCAGTACCTGAGCACGAAAAGTGGTGGTGGGAGAGACAATGCATGAATCAGATGAACAACAAAATCTGATTTATTGCATAAAAGGACAGACACGTTGTAATGTCGTCTTGTTCATCGTTTGAGATTTCACTTACCTCATTTTGACAACTTTTTTTTTCTTTTTTTTTTTTTAAATGATTTCATTACATCCTGAGTCATGTTATTTTTCCACACGTCAAAATGTATATTAATAATTATATTTCATTTGCATGTTTCCATTGTTTATGGAAGTCTCTGAGGCAACTCTGGTCTTCAGGCACAATATCTCTTATAGCAATCGAATCCACTTTGGAAATGAGTTACATTTTCTCTCCTTTTGTCTTACATTTCCCAGATGATGAAGATGATGGCAAAGCTACAGCCCAGCCCCTGTTGAAAAAAGGCAGGATATCCACTTAAATGAGTGGCCATATGTCTTTGTCTCGCAGCGTAATGCTTTCCTATCTCCATTTCTACTCTTTTGCTTCCTTTGTATGAAACCAATATTTTCCTTCAGCTGTCTTTTAACAATTACGATTAGTTAAACTCCTACAGTGATACCTTGACTTACAAATTTAATGTGTTCAATGATCAGGCAAATAACTCACTTCACTTTTATATCGGATCAGTTTTCCACTTTGAAATTAAATGAAATTCCATGAATCCTTTCCAGACTCCACCACAGAATGTATTTTATGATCGGAAATTGGATGCATGGATATATTACACAAAGAAAAAGATCTTTATCATCTATGAATATAAAGAGACTCGAAAGACATAAACTGTCTTAAATGGCTTAAGGTAAACCGGAAGACCCAATGCTTTAGTTTAAGCGCTGTGCCTTTAACTGGGGTGAGGGCTGGTGAGTGACTCTCTGTGAGCCTCTGGATGTAAATTTGACCTCTACTGTATTTTTGGGACACTCATAAGTCAAGGTATCATTGTGCAGTTGATAGAATAGGGTGTATAGGAACCAGGCCGGCCTGCGAATAGGAAAAATCTGCGTCTGACTGACGCTCATTGATTTATTTATTTATTTTTCAGCTATGGCCCCAACTCTTTCAAAATAAATTGCTTGAAAAAATTCAGTTTACGTTTTCCATGAAAAACAGGGCGGTAGTGGTGGAATTGAGGGAAGAAATGGGGAAAGAAACAAAAAAACACTTTAAAAAGAAATTTGAAAAAAAAAATTCTGTGAATAAGTTAACCCGCATGTGTCAAGCCGCGACTATGTGTGGGGTCAAATGTTTCCGTTCGGGCTCTCTGCTGTCTTTCGTGATTGTTTGTTGTTTCTGCTTGACAAACTGGCTGATACGTGTTCCTTTCCTGCTATCCAAATACAAGCTCAAGACCATTTGCTCAATCTGCCTGTTGTAGTGCCTAAAACCTAACCCAATTTTCTGTCCCATTTGTTACTTCCAAATATCTTCAGTCTGCTGCTTCTCTTCTCTGCAATTGACGCATTGTTTTAACGTGCACTGCTGAGGATGAAAATGTCTCCTGTTTGTGTGTGCAGTTGTGTCCAGCCAAATAGACTAGCCAAGAGTGCTTCAAAGCTTGAAAGTTGTTTATTGTTGTTGATTGTTGATATTTCTTCAGTATTGATGCAATATCTGTTCTATATTTTGCTGCTTGGATTTTCAATATTGTAGACTATTAGACATTTGCTGAGCAAAGACAGATTCAAATGTTTACCTTTTTTTCGGACTATAAGTGGCTCCTGAGTATAAGTCGCACCAGCCATAAAATGCAAAATAAAGAAGAAAAAAACATGTAAATCACAACACCATGAACAGCCATGTCATCTTGAAAGGCAACTTAAAATAAAAATAAAATAAAGAGGAGGTTGAATAAATATACGATATGCTAACGTTACATGACGCATAAAAAACGAACTGACAACCTGCCAGGTATGTTCACGTAACATATTAAGAGTTATTCAGATAACTATAGCATAAAGAACATGCTAACAATTTTACCAAACCATTAGTGTTACTCCAAATCACTAAATCCATTTAAACCTTCATCCCCCTTCTGTCACTTTAAGAATTCCGCCAACTCCAGAGCTAGAAGATGCGACGCTTCCTCTTCTACGTCGCTGACGTCAGACTCATCGTTGGTTGTTTTTATCAGTTTCCGCCAATGTGGAAAGTATCAACATAGGCCAAGAGCACCCTCTTGCGGTGTAATGTGAAAATAACATGTGAAATGAAATAATGCATTAATCATTACCCCCGGCCTAATGAATGAAAAAAAAAACTGTCATTTATAATCCGGAAAATATGGTAATTTTACTGCTCAGATGCATTTTTTTTTATTCATTTTCATGCGATCATTTGGCTATTTCTGGGACATTCTTTTGACCAAAGTTATTACAATCAAATCATAGAATATACCAAGTTAATCCATGTTTTAGTTGTTCGCACTGCACATTTCATTGTGTTTGGTTTGAGTTGAAAACCAGCCCGAGATAACGATGATTATGTAAAATCTATTGTCTTAAAAATTAACATTTTTGTTTGTTTGTTTTCTTTCTTTGTGCTGTCCTGTACATGCATGTCTGGCAACCGTCCCTGCAGATAAGAAGAACATGACAGTACCACTGAACGTGTCTGACCAGAGATTGTTGGAGGCCAGCCAGCAGTTCCAGAAGAAACAAGGGAAAGGCACAGTTGATGTCTGGTGGCTGTTTGATGATGGAGGTGAGGCTTGAAACAAACGATGGCTATAATGGACCTAATTCACAAATATGATTCAAAGAATATTTTCAAGGTCACTGATGTAGTGGTACATTCATTCACCTGACTTCGTATTAAGCAGTGTTTAGACAGTTCCCACTCAGTGATGGTGTAAATGTAAGATCAAAAAAGGTTCAATAAGCCAGTCGTTCACAAATGGTTGTATGCGAAGACATGAATGAAATAAAAGAGCTTGCCTCTCTGCCACCAAGAATGAGTTCAATGCGACAATGCAATATTCAGTGTTGACAGTTGGTCATGTTTCAGTCATCTTTTTAATTCTTAAATAGGTATTTAAAGTGATTTTTTTTTTGTTTTTTCTGCTTTTATTTAAATTTATTTGTTTTCTTTTCGAACAGATCTGTACTATGATCCCAAAGGACGATACCTTATGTTGATCATGGTGATATGTGCACAAACCTTCATGATTAAGTTCATGATTTCTTTTTATTTATTTATTTATTTATTTTTGGTCTTTGTTTTTAAGATATTTCCAAATAGTTCTAGATATACCAATACAAATGGAGTTTCAAAGTTTAGGAAATCAGGCAGTGATGGCAGAGCACTCTGTTTTAAGTCAAGCTCCAGTTCCCAATGACCCTGAATGTGCTAAGCATCATAGAAAATGGATGAATAGGTGACTATACTAAAAGTACAAGTTGGTTATTTACTAAGAGTTCCAAAACCGAAATCAAGTAATTAATTATAACAACACACTGCAGTGTACGGTCCACTAGAAAAAGACACTTTAAATCTGTGATACGATAGAAACAGAGAGGTAAAACAGCTGCCAATCTCAGAGGAGTTGCGGAATAAACTGCATCATTTATATCGCACTGAACTCATTCTTGGTGGCAGGGTGGCAACTGTTCTTATCAAGCTCTTTTTTGTCTTTTTTTTTTTCATTTATGTCTTCGCATACAACTATTTGCGAACGACTTAATACTTTCAAGCGAGAGACTAGAGAGCAAAAACAACAATGACGACATCAAGAGGTCTAGAAAACAATGCAAGAGCAGCAACAAGGGCAATAATCCGACAGCCACATGAGAGCTTGGCAGTCCTTAATACTCGGTCGGCTAACTTCATGATCAAATTGGTAGCAGGTGTGCACGCTGGAGGGAAGGTCCTCCTCTGCCACCTGCTGGAGGCACACCAGAACAGGATCATCACAGATTCAGTTGGATTCAGTGGGCTTATGGCTCGATTCAATATGATAGGGCTGCATTCAAGAGAAAATCAAATGTTCTGTTGGCTACTGTAAATGTAAACTTTATCTTGGATATATATCTCTCCAATAAAAGACTATCCGATACATATCTCGGTCTATTTTCAAGTGGAGCGATTCCGTTCGATTCGATCCACTCTCACCTTGAAAATCAAAACTTTTTTTTGCTTTGCTCCTGTATAAATAAAGATTTATTTTATTGTATTGTACTGTTTTCCACATAAAATTAAGGAGAACAGACAGGCAAATCTCAGCAAAGGTTATTTTCATAATTTTGAAAACTGATGAGAAAACGGCTCGTAGAAAATCACAAAATTAGCTTGCAAAGGGCATTCTGCTAATTTCCAACCCAAATTTGAGTGCAAACCTGTTAAAGGACATCAAAGATGATAATAATTGTGGCCTGGGACCTATAAGAAAGCATACATTGGTGAGTACCATATTCTTTTTTAGAAGAGTGTAGTGGAACTTTAAAATTAATTTTGTTCATGAATCACACCAATTTTCTTTGTATCCAGAGAACTGGGAGAGAGTTATTTTAATCCCCAGGAAATATGACCACCATTGTCCGTTTTTTTTTTTTTTTTGGGGGGGGGGGGGGTTCAATCTTTTAACAATTGCTGTCCTGTAATCACAGGTGAAGGATGAAATGTGCTACAACTATTTCAGTGCTGCACTCAAAAATGAAATTACAATTATACCACATGGACAAGAATAAATCTGCTGATTTTTTAATTAATTTTTGTGCTGTTTCATTTTTCTTATAAAGGTTTGACACTGCTTATTCCCTATCTCTTGACCAACAAGAAGCGATGGAAGGATTGCAAGATTCGTGTTTTTATTGGTGGCAAGATAAACAGGATCGACCATGACCGCCGAGCGTAAGTACTGTTCAGTCCTTTCCAACATCTATTTGGAGTAAAATATGGTTTGAGATCAAGTTACTTTGACACATACTGTATATACTTAAAAATGCACTTTCATGTATGAGGAATGGGAAGATAAACTAATATGTCCATGGAAACACGTTGGCACGATGCACGTGCATCAGTAGAACAACAGTGAATCGATGCAATTTTGGGATGAAATTAAGATACATCTGATTTTACAGTTCCGCGTCGATACAGTCTGATCCATTTACGACCCTTGTTCCAATGAAGTGGCGATGTCTTCAGCATAAATAAAAACAGATTACAATGATTTGCAAATCATGTTCAACCGGTATTGAATTGAAAATGCTGTAAAGACAAGACACTTAATGTTCAAACTGATAGGCATTATTGTTTTCAGCAAATAATCATTACTTCGGCATTTTATGGTTGGAACACATTCCAAAAAAAGCTGGGATGTACAATTTGGGCATTTCTGTCACACTGAGCAGTACACACTGAAGGGAATACAAACACATAATGAACATGCATTATTCCCTTTAGACTGTCGGGTCCAAATTTCTACCTTTGAGCAAATTCATACATTATAGTGACAATACCGTATATTACGCGCACCCCAAACTTCAAGCACCAATAATTTTGAATAAATTACGTGTCTTGTGGAATTGTGCTTCACATAAGCTCTATCTATTTATGTATTTATTTATTTATTTATACATACATACATACATACAGTGCACCTCTGAAACTGCAAATGTTGAATATGAATGCCGTTGAAAATTTGGGTGTACCTAAGTTTTGTGCCAGTGCACCAAAGAAAAAAAGTTGGGTGCACCAGTGCAAAGATTTTGTCTCAAGCCCTGTGTAAATATGTATATGCCTGTCGATAACAGCTTGAAATTTACTCACCAATGGCTCAGAAAGAAAATTGGTTGTATCGAACATCATTACAGTAATTTCAGATTTTTTCTCATATCAAATGAAGCATGTTCAATTTGTTTTATTATTATAGTCCATTACTTTTCTAGTTTTAAAAAAATCATGAAAGGTAGTGTGAAAGAGAAGGATCTAAACCTAATTAAAAAAATATTTGGAGCAATTAAGATAAGATATGAAACGTTTCATGTAAATGGTGTTACAGTATCTTACAAAGTAACATGAATCTGTGTTTCATAGCTATTTCCATCCAACTATGCATAAAAGCAGCCTACCTGTATAAACCGGTGACTTCCAAATTTAGTTTCTAGTATCAAGGTTCCCTCTCTTCTCTCACACCTAATGTGCATGCACACGGGCACCCACACACAACGCTTCTATGCCTTTCTCTTTCTTTCTCTTATCCTCTTCAGCTGACTCCTTTTGTCCTTTAGAATTACCACAAGCCCAACCATTAACTCATATTAGTGGTTCTAGATTGGGACTTCCAAAGCATTAGCAGTGTAAATGCTTGTATTCCCTCCACCGTGCAGATAATGAAAGAATGTGAACAAAGTGTCGCCGGTTGTTGGCAGGCCTGGGCAAGGGCTTGGCGGAAATCTGCCGACTCGGCAGCTCAAGCCACTCACATTTCCCGGCATGTCACACATGCTTCTAGCGGCTATTAAGGCGACTTTGTTCTGGGACTGGCATGGACTGAAGACCATTTTACACTGTACTTTGTTTTCATGGTCTTCTCTGCTGGGCGTGGCGCAGCAACAGCAAACGCCCACCGTCCACATCGCCATACCTTGCCATAGCCCCAAATATGCAATGAATGGGTTTGTCCATGTCCCACTACCGTCTGTAAAGTGCAGTGTGGGGAAAAAAAGGCCTTCATTCTATTTTCATTCATTTTAATGGGGAAAAAAATGCTTCGTTTGGCTAACACAGTCATGGAACAAATTAAGTTTGCGAAGTGCCACTTTACTTTCACTATTCCATGTTTTCAAAATTAATTACCATATTTTTCGTACCATAAGGCGCACCAAAAGCATTCAATTTTCCCAAAATCCAACAGTGCATCCTATAATCCGTTGCGCCTTATATATGGTGTCAGAGTCTCATTATATTCCCCATTGAGTTGTTTTCTTGTTCGTGTGTTCTCCGATGCCATCTAGTGGTGATTATTAGCAGGAACCAATTGTAACCTAAAAGGGTTCTTCCCAACACTAATTGACACGTGCATTCGCCAACACATACTCAGACAACTTTGTGAGATCTGCACAGCTATTCTGAAATTAAGATAATACCAAAAGCATAGTTAACTGACTAAATGAAGGAAGGAGCAGACAAGCAAGACTTCCAAGGATATTTAGCACCTTGTCGACGTGAGCGCACGAGGCGTGTGTGCCTTTTTGTTGAATCCATTTTCTTCATCACGTATGTCTTTCCTTTATTGTTTTGTCATGCCATTTGTATTTATATGTTTCATGTCCGTGTTTGTGACCAGTTCTCATTGTGAAGGCTCTATATAAATGAAGCTGTATTGTTTTGTATTCCCTTTAGCGTCACTCCATTTAGTGGATGTATAAAGCAACCACAGGCATTACGGTAGCTTCTATTCTATGCACTTTATAATGCATTGCGCCCTATAAATGAAAAAAAGTTGAAGGTGTGCCTGATATTCCAAAGCGCCTTATAGTGCGGAAAATATGGTATTGATTTTTTTTTTTTTTTCCAGTTCATCAGCTCTCATTTCTTGTGTATTTCCTGTGCAGAATGGCAACTCTGTTGAGCAAGTTTAGGATAGACTTCTCAGACATCACTGTCCTTGGAGACATAAACACCAAGCCCAAAAAGGAGCAGTAAGTCTTTCCATTTTGTGTTTGTGGTAATTTAGCTATCCTTGGTATAATTATCTTTTTCACACAGTTTTTTTTAATCAGATGACAAGTTTGCGACACATTAATGCTTATTTGAATGTGAAATAATTTCTGAATTGAAAACATTCGACAAGATTTGTTGATCAAATCTAAGTTAAAAACTCATTTTGGTTGTAAACATTTATTTTAATGACTTACCTACTGTATTAAATTGGTCAACAAATCTGTGATGCTGTGTAAGCAAACATTTGTTCTTACAAGCTGTTAAATTGGTTAGTTCTATTGCAGGCAGCACAGATGCTCATATTTGTGTAATAATGCCCCGCTTGGCAGTCTATTATTTTTGGGCCTTTTTTATTTTTATAATATGGAAGGTATTATTTTGTTAGCCCGAGCTTGCATTCCAGTTTCATAGCATGACTGTTTTCTCCATTCAGCATTTCTGCCTTTGAGGAGATGATTGAGCCCTATCGGTTGAAGGAAGATGACATGGAGCAGGAGGCAGCTGAGCGTTTGAAAAACAGCGAACCATGGAGGATCACAGATAATGAGCTGGAGCTTTATCGTGCCAAGGTCTGAAACCAATATGATTCTTTTGTAGTTGTTTTCACCTCGATGACTCCCTTAAACAGTCACTCACACGGAACGCAAAACAGGTCCGAATGTAAAAGTAGAATACTGCTAAGTTTGAGTGCGGTTATATTTATGATATTTACTCAAGACAAATGTGCAGCAGGCGCTCTCAACAATAAAATCATCAACCACGGTCAAGTAAGATGCAGTGAATCCGAACACTTCCAACATCTGAGTACATTTGAGTAAGCCTCCACACGTTTCCTATTTCATCTGTCTGCAGAATATTTTGCCAGCTGTAACCAAAGTTGCTTGGAATTTTGACTCAAATGTTTAGGATATTTATGGCAAGAGTCGAAGAAGCTATTGGAATGTCTTCTGGTTTAGTGTGCATAGTTCGATATCGCCTCCCCGAGGTAAGGAGCTGGAAGAGGCAGTGACCCAGATGTGGAGGGTCTACGAGGATTTTTTTTTTTTTTTTTTTTTAATGAGCATTTATAAAGATATTTTGCAGAAGAACCCGAGGACATCCGTCCTGCAATTGGTTTTGCAGCAGGACAATGATGCATAAGACCGAGGAAAATCAAGGGACAAATCAGAAGAAAGTACCTCTTCTGGATGACACACTCCAACTCTTTGACCGCAGCCTGATGAAGAAGCTGCGGCTCGATCTCAAGAGAATTATTCACTCCAAGCATCCCGCGAATCTTGAAGTTTTGTGAAGAGAAATGGTCCAAAATTCATCCTTTTAATACAGGAGACATTCAGTTATTGCATTAAATTTTCCTCCCTGTCCTGTGCATGTTCACATTGTGCCGTAATGTAATTGTTTTGTGTAGGGTTAGTTGAAGCACACTCTGCCTGTTTAGTTTTGTGATTTAGAAGATCAAGGCTACCTGTTATGACCAATTCCAAAAAGGTTTGTGTCATTTTTCCTCCCACTCTATCTACGTCACATTGCTGCCACTGTCAGGCTAAAGCGTGCACAACACAATACTCTATGTGTAGCTTAGAAAGCTTAGCAGGTGTTGCGTTTGGACTGGTTGACAAGAAGTCGTTTCTTAACGCTGCAGGTCTCTGTGCGCATACAATTTGTTTTAGAAAAATTCTTTAATGAGTTTGATCGACCAGATGTGACGTTTGTTTTTCAGACCAATCGTCAGATCAGACTCAATGAGCTACTGAAGGAACACTCCAACACAGCCAACCTCATTGTCATGTAAGTCTGATTCTGACCCCTCTTGCCTTGAGTGTTTGCGCTTGTACGGTGAGTTGAGTATCGGTGGATTAGAACGGCAATGGGTGCAGCAAAATTGTTCATCTTTACAAATAGGGCACTATTCTTTTTTTTAACTTGCGAACGGCACAGGGGTTTCCAAAATAAAAGTGAATGTATCGTCTTTTGTTTTCTTCAGGAGCCTGCCGTTGGCCAGAAAAGGTGCAGTGTCCAGTGCTCTGTACATGGCCTGGCTGGAGGTGTTGTCGAAGGAGCTGCCGCCGATCCTTCTGGTGCGCGGCAACCACCAGAGTGTCCTAACCTTCTATTCTTAAAAAAAGCAACAAAAATAACACCTAAGGAATGAATTCTCACATCCACCTACTGTGTCTGTTAGACAAACATAACTACAAACTGTGTGTGCACAAATTCAATTCAAAAATAAAGTACAGTGAATAAAATGCCGAATGGATTGAGATGAGGAAAATCACATCGAAATCAAATGGTGAGTGCAGGGTGCTTTTTCAAATGGACCAACTCTCTCTTATTTTTGTTCCGGAATTGTCTGGATTTTCTCATGTATCGCCAATCGGATTCACACATGGATATGTCAGTTTTTCTCAAAACGGTTTAATTACTCTTGGTTTGTTTGGGGGGTTTTTTGTTTTTTTTTGTCGTTGTCGTTGGCGGTGGTGTTTTTTTTGCACCATCTTCACCTTGTGACATGAAACGGTCACCCTTATTACATTTATTGGACCTGGTTTTAATGTTTGTGTCGTCTCAATAATTAATGACCTTGCTGCTTTCCTTAAATATTTGGAGAGAAGCACGTAGAATGCTTTGCAACAGTTTTTTAAAGCCTTATGGATGTGCCTTCCAGTTTAATCAGACAATAATCTCTATTTAGATGACAATGTTGCTTATTATATTGCATCATAGATAGAATGATTTTCAACTATGATTCCTTCTTAGTGGATCGCATTGCATGAATAGAAGGTGTCCCTTTAATGATGGTAAGAAGACTTTCGACGAGTTCTTCCCCCTTTCTTGTTTCAGACGGTTGTGTTTTTCTCTCCATTACCATTTGAGTCTTCCTTTTTAAAGATGTGAATATTTCTAATGCCTCAACTACTCTGCAGAGGACACCGTGAGGCTTTCAGGCAAATGCCTAAAGCATTCATGCATTGACCTTGAATTAAAGATTTTCTTTGTGGACGTAATTTTTCATAAGCGACCAGACGTCACATTAAAAGAGTACCACGTTGTAGCTCATGTAGCTTCACATGAACTAAATGGTTTCATTCAATAAATGTCTATTCCTTGATTGTTCTTACCCTGAACGCAAATGCCACTATCCCCCAAGCTAGGGAACTTTGCCTTAATACCCGAGCTAACGATTCAAGTTTTGGTAAGCCATACCGGATAGGTCACGTCTTGTTTTCTGTACCATGGAATAGACCACCACATGTATGTATTTATGCAGCTGTATGTAATCACCGTCCGCCCTTATTGGTCTCTTATCGCTTAATGTAGCTGAGCTCTGCTAGTAGCGGGTTCTGTAGTGACTCAACATACAGTAAAACACATCCAGCGTTAGTGCAACAATATACTTCAGATTTACTCAAATACTCAGGCCCCTCACAACCCCTTCGTCATCTTCTTTGCTCTAAGGATGTATGATGAAATTCTAGTCTTGTCCATACTGACCTTGTTTCATACTTGGAAGGCTCGCAGTTCTGAATAATGTTACATTGAGAATGATTCACATCTGAAAAACGTATACCTCTATGCATTTCAGTTTGTGTCACATATGTAATAAAAGTCTGTCTCTCAATTTGAAAGGGTCCACTTGCTTGACTTAATTTTATGTAGAAAACAAGATGTGTTCTGATTCATGCGAAGGGCTAACACTTCTGAAAACAAACAAAAAAAAATCATTTATTATTAATCATTAATATTCATCTATGGAAAATGTTACCGTTCCGGAAGTGTCCAGAACAGAATCGGACTCTTAAAATGTAGACTCAGATGTAGTCTGAACAAATAGGATTGATTGAGACAAAAATGCAAGACCGACAAAGTATAATAAAGGACACTGGTTACAATAACCAGAAAAAAAACAAAACTAACCAAAAACTAGTGATGGGTCCAGCAACACAAATGCGTCGGTGCATGTACAGTACTGCTTCAAGACGATCACGTGACCAATACACGAATTGCTTTGACTCAGTCCAGGGGGCGTCGACGCCGCAAAAGCCCGCCAAACTGTGTTTACAAGGAAGTGGGTCGAGCGACGCGGTGCCGCCTGCCGAAACAAGCCAGACCTCACCCTCGCTCGAATAAAAATATTTATTTGGGCAAAAAGGAAAACACACAGATTATCAGAAAAACGTGTCCGTCTGACTTCGAGCGTCGTGTCGGCTAGGTCAATTTCGCTGTTTTCGTAGTTCAAAGCTCCTTTGTTGTGTGACGTGTGTTGAGTCGGCGCTGATTGGTTGAAGCACGTGAGTACGTGCTCTTGCTCGCGAGTGCACAGCAGAGAGCAGCCGAGCGGACCATCGACTGCAGTGCTGAGGCGCGCTTCACTCAAGTGGCGTTGCTCCAGTACGTGCGTATTATGGAGCAGCTCCCGGAGAAACGCAAATTGTCCGCCGTGTAGAGCCATTTTGATCTCCTTTTGGAGAATAAAGTATTTATTCAAATCTCCTTGTCTCACCAAGTGCCTCTCAGATTATTGACATGTCTTGTTCCATTCTAATTCAAATTAATTTCAAGGTAACTCTTAGTTCACTATTCACATATTTTATTGCAGGTGAAATGTCATATAATGTCAAATGTCCAACAAAAGCACCTCTGCAACTACATCTGGCATGTTACCCATCATTATTATTGTTTTTTGGAAACTGTTCTAAATGCCAGTTTTGTTAGGTTTAGTTTTTTAGATGACCTGTGGCAACATTTGGATGATGAGGTCGGGAGACTGGGAAGAAGTGCAACAGCAGATGCTATATCTGAGGTCCAGCGATACCTGGCAGAGGGGAATATTGCACACAGTCAAGACCCGCTGTTATATTGGAAAAACCAACACACTACTTTTCCAAACCTCTCCCACCTCGCAAAGGAGCTCCTCTGTACGCCGGCGTCATCAGTGCCATGTGAGCATGTGTTTTCCACAGTAGGGGAAATAGCATGCAAGAAACGCAACAGACTCCCTCTTATATAAATAATATATAATAAAATATAAATATAAGATATAAAAATATAAATTTAAAAAAGGATATATTAGACTCAAATTCAACTTATTTTTCTGAATAAAGATTTTTGAAGACAAAGCCCAAAAGCATCCCCATTCACATAATTTTCGAATTATTCAAACATAATGAATAATACAATATGAATGCATAGATGTCAATGATATTGGATACACTTCGTCATCAAATCACTCAGTTCAGTCTGTCAAGTGGGTTGCCTGCAGGGATTTTGAAAGTCCAGCAGATGTCAGTGGTCAGCGACACAGTATCAACACAGTGTGTCATTGTGTCAACACGCTTCATGACGCCTCATGGACCCATCACTAGCAAAAACATTTGCAAAAGGTAAGACAATATGAACGAAAATAGCTTGGCAGAAAAGTAAATCCCAAAGGATACAAAAACGAGTCTACGCTTAGAAAGACAAATACTTAAATAAATAAGATAAGATAACCTTTATTTGTCCCACACTGGGGAAATTTGCAGTCTACAGCAGCAAAATTGGGGGGGAAGAAAAAAAACCAAAGTGTTTCATTGCACAAAATAAATGTTTCAGAAAGAACTGTACACAGTTCAATAAAAGTGCAATATAAAATATAGCATTAGCAATATATTTGTAGAATAAATATAATAAATTAGCAATAGAATAGAAAACACAGCATAAGGTGGCTGTGCTATTTACAATGGTTACAGCTTTTCACGTATGTTTATTCAGCAGCCTGATAGCAGTCGGTAGGAATGAGCGGAGGTATCTCTCCTTCTTCTTCTTGCAAAAATGCAAAAACGAGGTGATAAAATGCATGGCGGGAACTCGAGAGATCTTCTCGAAGATTCAACACTTGGAGACAAAGTCATGAGTAAATTGAGGATTAATCCGAGAAAGGCTTGACAGTTTGACAGTCCTTTAAATGCATGGCAATTGATAGGATCATTGGCAGTGGGTGTGCACACTGAGGGGGAGGGCCCTCCACTGCCACCTGCTGGAGACACAAAAGAACAGGATCATGAACAGGAAGACACCACGGCTGAAGATTAGTCGAAATTGAAGCAATATTGCAATGTAGTAAATTTCAATTTTCAGTCACAAAGGCTGTAGTTAAGGGGAGAGGAGGAATGAGATGAAAAAAAGCTGATCATCATTTGCCCCACTAGCAGAAAAAGAAATATTCCACTGGAGTGGGTCAGGTTGAGACCATGACACAAATTAGAGATGCAACAAAGTTTATCCACACTGACACTCGTCGATAGAAAATCCCATTAACCTTGTGTTAGAACCAAAAATATTTCGTTCCCCATCTGTTCTGTTTGTTTTTGTTCTTGTTGTCTGTGTGTGCGTGCGTGTGTGTCACGGGTTAATCTTTGTCTGTGTGAAGGACTTTTTCGCCTGCTCTTTCCTAATTGGTGCCCGCATCCTAAACTCAGTGTAGGAGAGAGGGACCCCAATTAGCAAAATTTGGGGTGTGCCACTAGCTGCGCTGATTGCCTATCACAGTTTAAAAATGATTCTGTTTAAAAAAACAAACTGAGGGCGCTTTGTCGGGCGCGCGTGTACGTGTGTGTTTGACAGTCCCTATGCCTCCCGTTTGTTTGTACCGATGTCTTTCATTTCGTGCAACAAATTAGTTCTTCGCCATAGCCATCATACATTAATTTGTTTAGCCCAGGGGTGGCCAACTGTGTTTCTGCAAAGAGCCACATCATACACATGGGCACACATGAATATCACTGCATCCCTTACGAGCACACACACACACACACACACACACACACACACACACACACACACACACACACACAGACCTCTGCTCAGCCACAGTATTGTAAATGTCACACACCAACATGATAATGACAGAAATTGACTCATACAGTACTAAGACCACAGGCCAGTCATTTTCAACAATGAATATTGTGTGCACTGTCTCACACACACAAACTCTCAGTTCAACCAATTCCACAAACAAAAATATAATAACGTTTTTCTCTTACTATGTTGTTTAGCGCCTTAGTGCAGGGACTTCTGGCATTCCTTCTCTTAAACATTCCTCTTCAAATGTGGCTTGTATTCCGTTGTTCCCACTCGAAACAGGCACTGTCTGCATGAGAAGCTGCAGTGGTTACTTTCTACTTGGGTCAGCTTGCTACTTAATTGACCGAAGATCGACTTTTGAAGCGCCGAACCTCCCGCGATCAACCCGATTGCACACGTGCAAGCATATACGGTACACACACTCGGACGCACGCGGGCGCCCACCACGCATACCTGCGCATCTCTACGCACACACGCCGAGATGAGCGACAACCAAACGTCACTGAACATGAAATCGAAACACACAGACACAGTTTTTTTCAAGGTTTTTTCCCCCCCCATTTCCTCCTCCCACCCCTTGCTGTCGACTTGGGACCAGTCCGCTGGCTCCCGGTCGATCCCGATTGACGTATTCGACACTTGTCATGTGAAAGCCCGGGAGCCGCATTGAACCAGCCAAAGAGCCGTATGCAGCTCGTGAGCTGCGGGTTGGCCACCCCTGGTTTAGCCACTCAATTCATTTGTGTGTTTTAGGAACTTTGCCATGCATTTGTCCCCTTTGATTCGTGTGTTGCACTAAGGCAGTGAGATTTGGGATTGTTTACTCCCAATTTAGTGGTGTAGTGTCGTGTGCCCCTTTGTTAAGTTGTTGCCCCTTGTGAGTACTCCTTTGTGGTTCGATAATCCTTGATAGCGCACCACGCTTCCTCTCAACTCCCACACCTAAGTGAGACCCTTCTTTTGTTGCCATCATGTTGACGGATCGCATACCTTTACTCATTTCATTGTCACTTTCAAACTTTGTGCCAACTACTGTGAACTGCTGAGGCAGGTCAAGAAAGACAAATGCATATGCAGGGGTCAACAGTCAGAAGGAGTCATCTTGCATCATGCCAATGCAAGGCCTCACACAGCAGCCCAAACCATCAACGAGCTGGGTTGGGAAATGCTCCCTGATCCCCCCTTACAGCCCAGACCTTGCCCCTTCAGACTTTCACCTGTTTGGTCCCTTAAAAAGCGCTCTCAAGAGGCACAAAGTTTAAAAGTGACGATGAAGTCTAAAGTGGATAGACAAGCAACAATCCGCACGAATTCAAGAAAATGTCAGTATAATAAGCCTCTGAATGTATTCTTTTAAATAATTTTGTGACAAAACTCACCATTAATGAATGTGAATGCTTTTCTGTTCCTCACGATTGCTAAAGATGCAGCAAAACTAGCAGAATTATAGTCAGCTTGCCGGGTCCATACGCGGAGTTGCTGCTGGCTAGCTTGCACCCTGCTCAGTAGCTTGCACGGTTCCTTTCTGCTGCCTCCCGCAGGGTGTTTTGATGCGAACATTCAAAGTGCTGCTTTACATTCGACTGTTTCGTCTATGGTATTTTGTCATTGCAAATTAGACACAGCGCAGAACCTGTTCTCTCCACAAAGGCGAATTCTTCGCTCCATTCGTCCTGAAGTGAACCATACTCGTCATCTTTTTTTCTTTTCGCCATCTTATTCGTCGAAGGATTACCTTTGAGCTAATGACTGAGTGGGCTGATTCAAAAGGAGGCATTTACCGGTTTACCCACGGCCAATGTAGGCCAGTATCAACCAATTAAAATTGCTGCTGCCTCCAACTGCAGCCCTGAACAGGACATCAGCAGTGAAAAATCGATGGATGGATTAAACAAGCAAGAATATGGTGGTGGTGGCTTCGGCCATCCATTATGGCATTGTCTGCTGGTCAGGCAGCATCTCGGCCCGGGACAGAAAGAGACTGGAGTGACTGGTCAGGAGGGCCAGTTCTGTCCTGGGCTCCTCCCTGGACACTCTGGAGGATGTGGGCAACAGGAGGATGCTAGCTGAGCTAAAAGCTGTGATGGACAGTCCCTCCCACCCACTCCAGTCCGCCCTGACAGCACTAGGTAGCTCCTTCAGCCAGAGACTGTTACACCCGCACTGCAAGGAGAGATACCGCCGCTCGTTCCTACCGACTGCTGTCAGGCTGCTGAATAAAAAATAAAATGATGTGGAAAACAATTGTAAATAGCACAGCCACCTTATCTATATCTATATTTACATTGCACTTAATTGAACGGTGTAATGTTTATTTTGTGAATGCAAACACTTTGTTTTTCTTCTTTCTTCTTTCTACCCAATCTTGCTGCTGTAGACTGTAAATTTCCCCAATGTAGGACAAATAAAGGATATCTTATCTTATCATATATTTAGTTTTTTCTGCAAGCCAGATGCAATCATTAAAAGAGCCACACCTGGCTCACGAGCCATAGGTTCCCAACCCCTGTTGTAGAACGTTCCATTAAGCTGCCACGCATGTTTTTGGAATATGAGAGGAAACCGGAGTACCCAGAGAAAACCCACGCAGGCACAGGAAGAACATGCAAACCCCACACAGGAAGGCCGGAGCCGGAATCGAACCTCGCACCTCTACGCTGTGAGGTGGATGTGTTAACACCATGCCGACCCATTAAATTCCATTGTGAAGGAAAAATAATTTGGTGTTTAATTATATGTGAGATACATTCTCATCTTTACATGGTGTAACATTAAAATAACAAATTATTATTATAGAGTAATGATTATGTTGTGTAATTGAAGGGTTTCACTTTTTTTAAAAATCCTTTTATAAAATGTACTGCGGTAACTGAGTCTTTCGGTAATGATCTTGACAAAAGGTTAAAAATCTGAAAATTCAAACCAATTGCTGTGGAAGTGAATTTCAATAGGTTGGCAGCTCTGTAATCTCATTGGAAGTGTTGCATTAAAATGACTGTTCCTTGATTTTCACAGAGTTGAGGCACACTTCTGCTCGCCAATGCGCACCATTGTGCTCACATTCTTGCTGCTTGCTCTTATTTGATGGTGGATGGTGAACAATGCACTATGACCTTGGAGTGTGCTCCAGTCACATCCATTCACATTTTAATCGCACATTACACCATTTATTTTATTTTTTTCTGTTTTATGCTTGTGTTGACATCTCCAAAACGTTATCAAACATTTTTTTGGTTCATAACGTTTGAAGGACCTGCACTGTCAGGTTCGAAACGAAGCAAATAATGTTTCGGATCCCAGAAACGTTGACACCAAACAAAACCCCGTAACAAAAATATTTAGTTACAAGAACAAAAAGCGCACTGACAAAGTATGAACAGAAATGGCTGGTCAATAAGAACCAGGACAAAAACAATGCATGAACAAAAAGCGCTTGCAAAATGGAAGGAAATAATTCAACTGAGAAAAACAACGAAATGTCAATAATCCAAGTCACATGTAAAATAAAAATAAAAACAAAGTCAAATGATTAAACAAAGACAAAAACGTGGTACTAAGGGAACAAGAACGACTATGACAAGAGGAAGAGGTAGAGAAAACAATCACTTGAGCGAGAGCAGCAACAAGGTCAAAATAATCCGACAAACTGCAGGCAGTTTGTCAGTCCTTAAAAACAAAGCTATTGATAGCATGCAGCAGGTGTGCACACTGAAGGAATGGCCCTAGTCTGCCACCTGCTGGAGACGCACAATAAGAGGATCATGACATGCAAACTGCATTTACAATTTCCATAACTTTTCCAGGTTTTAGTGATGACCGTACGAATTGGATCCTTCTGTGGTATGGAAAGGCAAAATAATTACCAGCACAGCCAGGGAAGACTCAAAAACACATTTATTTTCCAAATGTGCAAATGTTTTTAAGTGTCAAACTCATTGATAAACCATTTCGTGTCATAAAAACATCCAATGTTTTTTAAAAAGCAGTCACACTTTCTTTTCTAGCACCACTACTGGTACGATAATCACAACAATAACTACACTGACAAACAAACCTATGACAGAAAGTAGTCTGTGAAGTCTTTTCCTTCGCTGTTCTGCTTCTTTTTTCTTCAACAAAGCATCAAATCCTGGTGTGTAAAGATCTTCTAGCCAAAAGTCCAGCTCCCTCGGTTTCTTTACTTTATCCTGTGCAAACAACATACAACAAAACTCTTAGCGATAATATACGCACAGTGTATGATGACAATTCATTCAATTTGCCACGGATGGTATATGGCTCTATCTACAGAGATGTACCCTGGACTGGCCTTCTCACAAAACTTCTACCGTGCACGGGTTTTTGTCTTAGCAATTAACAAAAGCCGCATTGACAAGTCGAGACTGCATCTGGAGTCACACAGGACTTTGAAAAGGTTCAACAGTAATCTTTCTTCACATCCTCATTTATGACTTGTTTTCCCTGGGTGACACAACCAGGAGCATGAAGCTTACAGTTGAGCTCTGACAACACAACCCCTTCCGCTGCGTTAAGGTGACAGTTCAGGGCGGAGAATGCTGGGAGTTCACAAGATCATTTTTGTGGGATTTGGCAGTTTTAAGAGGGTGGAAGCTCCCATGAATGTTGCCAAGAAGAATCTGAAGACCTGACTCAATCTCTGTTTTGTTTAACTCTTTCATGCGTGCTGTAACCTGATAACATGATAAGATGTCCACTGGAGTAACCGCAGTCCCTGAAAGCGTTAAGGATGCCGCAACAGTAATAATTCTAACTTTAATATTCACAGTGTGTTTTCGTTATGTCACCTAAAATTAAACAAAAACATCTTCTGTGTTCATGTTTCCGTTTGTCATTGTTGTTGTTGTGCTTTTTTTTCTTTGTACAAAGTAATACCTAAATCACCTTTGATGCTGTAATTGGCACTCACATTACACCTCATCTTTTCCTGAATTACCTGTAAAAAGTCTTTTACTTTGCCATGGCCTGTATGCATGGTATAATCCTTGATAGTCCAGGAAGGCATGACCTTAACCACGTTCACTGTATCCGTCATACTATACAGAGGGTTTGTTTTAATGTTGGACTGCAGACTACCAGGGGTGACATGCTTCTCAAGGTATCTGTCCACAAACACCACAGGGTCTTCTTGAGAGGAAGGTAAACTGCTTTTTATCTTTGTTCTCTGCTCCAAGACACTCTATGGATAGGACACACACACACGATTCACCAGTTTAATGCATTTGTTGTAAATCGCCGTTACATAAACCAAGGTTCCTCTTTCTGATTTATGGAAAATGTACATCTTGCCTAAGGAAGGGCATCGAACGTTAAAACCATGCACAAAAAAAACATGAGTGGCTTGCAGTGGCTCTCTTTGACGGAACAATCAGAAAATCAGAACAACATACAAATATCTATTTCATGGATTGTCTGCTCTCCCATTAAGTGTCAAATTAAACAACCAAGTAATTCTTTCATTATTTACCTGTTTCTGAAAATGTGTCTTTGAGCAAACCATTCTGCACTTCCATTTAATTGTAATGTAGAAAGTGAGCTAATTTTGATAATAACTAAGCCCATACTGAGTATCTATGCTAAATCCGTCACCGACCAGACCCCGCCCGTCACGGCGGGACAAGTCATGTCATTTGCGACGTTACTATCTTCAGAAAAGAAAGAAAAGAAAAGAAAAAAAAAGAGTGTGGAGCCATTCGTGGATGGTGGAGAGAGCGCGGTACGGACTGTCTATTTTCCAAAGAGAATTTTCAATAAATACATTTGTGACACTACGTTTGCTAATCAGCTACTAGCATTGCAGTTAGCAAACGTAGCACGAGTTGAAATGCTACGTATACTTTGGATTATTTCCCCTTTTGTTCAAGTCACTTTTTAAACATAATTTTGTGTTTGTCTCTCATCATACGTGGGAGGGCACTGTCTTGCTATTGGCCAAAGAACAAATCGAAGAACAATGGAGGACATGTCACACTCGTCGTCATGGTTGTGAAGCATCCCAGACGGCAGACGTCCAATCGTTGAGTATGTCACACTATACGGGCTATGATGCGTCAAGACAACTCAAGTTTGAATGTGAAGATGAAGTCAGCGACTGGCTGAGACATCACTCCTAAGATTTTTACGCTGAGGGAATATGAAAGCTTGTACACAGATGGGAAAAGTGTGTGACAGTGCTGGGAGACTACGTTGGAGAAAAAAAAAAAAATAAAGTGAGCTTCTATCTGTATTCAAAGTCCTGATACAGAAAAATTCACCTTATTTATTGAATGACACTAGTAGTTGCCGAGTGTTTCCATAGAGAACCTGAGATGGGAGCCTTCAGCCTTGTAAGGTGACAATGTTGGCAAAGAAATACTCACTTTGGAAAATACTTCCTGCACCAGTCACTCCGTTCTCTTCTCACTTCCAGATGATACCTTGACTTTGCAGCATTCTTTCTTGGACTGATGCCATTGTCTCCTGCCTGCTGTGCTCTGCTTTGTCTGCCGCACTGCTCATTTTCCTAATTCTGGACACTGAGCCACATTTTCTGTCATAGCTTGACAGCCTTGAGTAACTCATTGTCACAGCCTTCCTTTCTCCTCTTCCCTCCACATCCTCTGTATTTCTCTGGCTGGAAATCCTCACTCTTACGCCGAGACTGAACCCCTGCAGTGTGATTTTGATACTTGCCTCCTGCCAAACCAATTTTATAAGCAGCAGAGGACCACAATAAAAGTCATTACCAATTTAAGTGTCCTCTGACTCTCCCTCTCTGGTGCTTTCAACTTGCTCCTCTTCAAATCTCTCACCACTATCATCATCTGACTCTCTCTCTGTGTCTGGATAAATGTGTTTCTTTTTCATATAGAAATATGATGTAATGTCAGTTTTTCTTTTCATTTTTAACGTTAAATGTTTAAGTGAAGAGGAATTAGACTTAAAAATGCTACTGTTGGGGGCTTGTTTCGTTTTGTGATTTTACATTGAAAATATAAATCGTGTCGTGTCAAAATAGCACTCGTGTCGTGGTAATCTGCTCTGCGGACTGCTTCTCATTTTCCCGCTCACCCATACTGAGTATCTATGCTAAATCCGTCACCGACTAGACCCCGCCCGTCACGGCGGGACAAGTCATGTCGATGGAGGCACTTCCATTTAATTGTAATGTAGAAAGTGAGCTAATTTTGATAATAACTAAGCCCATACTGAGTATCTATGCTAAATCCGTCACCGACCAGACCCCGCCCGTCACGGCGGGACAAGTCATGTCATTTGCGACGTTACTATCTTCAGAAAAGAAAGAAAAGAAAAGAAAAAAAAAAGAGTATGGAGCCATTCGTGGATTGTGGAGAGAGCGCGGTACGGACTGTCTATTTTCCAAAGAGAATTTTCAATAAATACATTTGTGACACTACGTTTGCTAATCAGCTACTAGCATTGCAGTTAGCAAACGTAGCACGAGTTGAAATGTTACGTATACTTTGGATTATTTCCCCTTTTGTTCAAGTCACTTTTTAAACATAATTTTGTGTTTGTCTCTCATCATACGTGGGAGGGCACTGTCTTGCTATTGGCCAAAGAACAAATCGAAGAACAATGGAGGACATGTCACACTCGTCGTCATGGTTGTGAAGCATCCCAGACGGCAGACGTCCAATCGTTGAGTATGTCACACTATACGGGCTATGATGCGTCAAGACAACTCAAGTTTGAATGTGAAGATGAAGTCAGCGACTGGCTGAGACATCACTCCTAAGATTTTTACGCTGAGGGAATATGAAAGCTTGTACACAGATGGGAAAAGTGTGTGACAGTGCTGGGAGACTACGTTGGAGAAAAAAAAAATAAAAATAAAGTGAGCTTCTATCTGTATTCAAAGTCCTGATACAGAAAAATTCACCTTATTTATTGAATGACACTAGTAGTTGCCGAGTGTTTCCATAGAGAACCTGAGATGGGAGCCTTCAGCCTTGTAAGGTGACAATGTTGGCAAAGAAATACTCACTTTGGAAAATACTTCCTGCACCAGTCACTCCGTTCTCTTCTCACTTCCAGATGATACCTTGACTTTGCAGCATTCTTTCTTGGACTGATGCCATTGTCTCCTGCCTGCTGTGCTCTGCTTTGTCTGCCGCACTGCTCATTTTCCTAATTCTGGACACTGAGCCACATTTTCTGTCATAGCTTGACAGCCTTGAGTAACTCATTGTCACAGCCTTCCTTTCTCCTCTTCCCTCCACATCCTCTGTATTTCTCTGGCTGGAAATCCTCACTCTTACGCCGAGACTGAACCCCTGCAGTGTGATTTTGATACTTGCCTCCTGCCAAACCAATTTTATAAGCAGCAGAGGACCACAATAAAAGTCATTACCAATTTAAGTGACCTGTGTTGTGCGACAGTCGGTTTCTGAGCACACCAATAATAGATTAATAGTTGATAATGATAACCACATGACCCAATGAGATTAAAAAAAAAAATTTAGAGTGTCAGTGGACTCTTGCTGATCAGTTTTAAAATTGAGTCTTGAATATAGAACTCAACTGTATTTATAGAGCACTTTAAAACAATCACCGTTGTATACAAAGTGCTGTACATGGAGCAAAATTAATTCATACAACAAAAAATGAAACCATAAATTAATAACAAAAGACAGTAGCAAGCACAAAAACAGTAAAACTAAAAAAAAAGTGTCATTCTGAGTCAAAAGCCAAAGAATAAAAATGAGTTTTAAGACTAATTTTAAAGCTGGGCAGCGAGGGGCGCTTGTCGAACGTTCAGTGGGAGGTCATTCCAAACAGACGGACCAGCAACGGAAAAGCCATCATTCATTGTATTCTAAAAATCCTTTTATCCAGACAGAGTATTTAGGTGAAAATGTGATTATGTTTGTAAAAAATGTAAAATTAATTAACATTGAATTCTTCACATTGCAACTTTTGGCAAGTCACTCAGAGCAAGACTCAATAAGCAAAACAATTTTCTGTGTGAAGGGAAAATACACACCCACGCGGGTAAGATCACAACAGAGAGTATCATCTTCATTTTTCTTTCTGGCTAAACATGTCATGACTGTTCCAACCTGAACCATCCTGTCAGTGCCCGGCAGTATCTTCACATCCAGCTTCAGGAACTTCTGTGGGTGATTGTTGTTTGGTAGAACAGGGGTGACCATTCTGGATTTGTCGTTTCATTTACGCTGTTAGCTTGACCCTCCACCAACCCAGCACTGTGTGTTTCATCATGGTAACAGGTGTGCTGTGTAATAATACATGAGGAGCGGTATTTATGAGCCTGTATCACTTGCACGTGTGTGAAACCCAATCAGATCACTGTGAGAGCCAAGTACCGTCGCGCAGCAACAGCAAACGGCCACCGTCCACATCGCCACACCTGGTCATAGCACCAAATACGCAATGAATGGGTTTGTCGATGGCGCACTACCTTCTGCAAAGTGCAGTATGGAAAAATGACTTAATTCTATTTTGATACATTTTTATGGGTGGAAAAAAACCGCTTCGTTTAGCTAACACAGTCGTGGAACAAATTAAGTTTGCGAACTAAAGTACCACTTTACTTTAGCCATCCCATGTTTTTCAAAATTAATTACCGTATTTTCCGCACTATAAGGCGCACCTAAAAGCATTCAGTTTTCCCAAAAGCTGACAGTGCGCCCTATAATCCACAGTCTCTTTCTATTTCCTTCTCTGTGTTCCTATGCCATCTAGTGGTGATTATTAGCAGGAACCAAATGTAACTTAAAAGGGTTCTGCCCGACACTAATTGACATGTGCATTCGCCTACACACACTCAAAACAGACAGCTACTTTGTGAGCTCCACGCAGCAATTATGAAACGAAGATAATACGAATAGCATAGTTAACTGTCATGAATCTGTTCTGTCTGTCTCCAGCAGGTGGCATTGGAGGGTCGTCCTAATTTTGTTATTTATAAGGGACTATTCAAGCAGTCACCTGCTGTCGAAATATTCTCCTTGCTCACAGCCCATGTCCAAGTGCTTATTTTTGATCTTTGTCGTTCTTGAACACAATCATAGCCTGGGTTTGTATTTTCTTGTTTGTTCCCTGTTTCCCCTTGTTCTTGTTTGTAGTGTTATTCTCGGGCGGTTTTGGTTTTACTTGTTGATTGGCTTTTCCTTGTCTTTATGTGACAAGTGATTTTGCTTTAGCAATTTCCCTTGCTGTTGCAAGCGCTTTTTGTTACCCTCGTTCATATCCTGGTAACTTGGTTAGCAGCATTTTATGTTGTACTTTATTGGTCATGTGACCTGATTTTTGTAAATAAACCATTTTTGTATCTCGAACTTCTCTTGGTCTGCGTTTGTGGGATCCGCTCCACTTCCAGACTTGTCCAGAACCCTAACAGTTAACCACTGACTAAATAAAGGAAGAAGGAGAAAAGCAAGACTTCTAAGGGCATTTAGCCCCTTGTGAAGGTGAGCCCACCAGGTTTGTGTTCCCTTTTGTTGAATCAAATATCTTCACAACTTTTGTCTTTCATTTATTGTTTTATAATGCCATTTGTATTGAAATGTTTCATTTCTGTGTTTTTGACCAGTTCTCATGGTTTTGTTACAGTTGTAGCGTATGTGTAGGCTCTATATAAATCAAGCTGTCTCATATTGTATTGTATTCTCTTGAGCGTAACTCCATCTAGTGAATGCATAGCGCAACTGCAGCCACTATTCTATGCGCCTTATAACGCGGTGCGCCCTATACATGAAAAAAAGTTTAAAAATAGGTCATTCATTGAAGGTGCACCTTATAATCCGAAGTACCATATAGTGCAGAAACTATGGTAATCAAAAGTAAGCAAGCTAAGTGCCGTAGTTATACTGTATTATTTGAAACTATAGCGGAACCCCGGAGGACGCACATTTTTTCCAGCATTCTAATCAAACCTGTTTTATTTATTTTTATATGGGAATGATTTGGTATTTAAATTGCAATGTTCAAGGGTCACAATGTTGCATCATAAGACATCTTGCTGCCGAGCGTTTTTTAAATTCTGATACATATGCAAGCATAAGTTACATGCTGTTCACAGTAAAACGAAAACAATAAAACACCGTTATGTCTTCATTTTGATAAGTGATCACAGGCATTGTCGAGAGTCATAACGCGTTGAATGTAGGTTTAATCAAATTCACATATTTCATTAACTACATATTGTTATCGTGTTTTTCTCTCACAGTGTACCGCATGTTGGTTGAAGCTGGTAACTTTTTGGGAATTAAGTGTCACATAAAGCCACAAAAAATTAAGAATGGAGCAATAATCCTTTTCATGCAACTTCAAAGGGTCTACTTTTGTCTGTTTAGCCCTTCTGTGCTTTGTTTCTCGAGAAATGTTGACCAGTCATCATCATTTTGTCTACCTTTCAGTAGAATCTGCCATGACACTAGGTTTTATAAAATTGCCATCATTATACCTCCAACGTATTGTTGTAAGCGAATTTGCCTCACTGTTAAAGTGGTTTAAGGTCCAAAATCTCGGTTCAGGCCTTTTTATGTAGATTTGGCATGTTCTCCTCGTGCTTACTTTAAATGTGTTTTCTTCACGTACTCTGGATTCTTCCCAAATTCCAAGAACATGTATTTCACAGATATAAATTGCCTCACATCTGAAAGTACACATTAGAAACAATGTGGGCCGAATCCTTTATTTTTACTGTAGACTTAGTTTAAGAAAAAGAGATCAACAGTTCAACTTTTATTTCCAGGGACAGTATTTAATTCATTTGGATGAGATTATATGTCTCCTGCTGGTCATAAAAAGATCAGATTGCGATCTGATTACCACTGCTTTGAAAGATGATCTAGCAAGAGAGGACAGAGATGAATGACTAGATCTTATGGGATCGTTTGGATGAAAAAACTTTTCCGGCCAATGAGAATTGGAAAAGTAGCCTTCAAAAGTGTCACACAAGCAGTTGATCCAAAAAAACGAGGCAGAAAAAAAAATGTCATGATGTGTAAACCACAAGATGCATTTGGGAGTCCACAAAATGTCCTGCAAATGTAACAGAGTAAAAAGCCAGCAACAACAAAAGAAAAAAATTTAATTTCCTGCGACTGAAACAGAGAACCAGAGCTTTTGTTTTCTGCAATAGTAGATCAGGGGACTGGATAATGCAGGATTTCGAAAATGGTTCAGGTTTGTTACTGGGTCACAGGGCTGTGTCTACCGGAGCCTTGACGCGGGCGCGGGTGAGCGACACCCTGACAGAGGCCCAAATAATATCGTGCAATGGGATGGTGTGCGCCGCATCGTCGACTGTGCTGTGCTGCCTAAGTTCGGCTCTGACCCCTCAAAGCAAGGCCGGCCATGGGTATATGGCGAACAAGGCAGTCACACTGGCCACTATCTCCAAGAGGGGGCTGATTTCCACTTTATTGATATTAAGTGTGTTGTCTCGTAAATTCTAAACCAATAATGTAAAATGTAGAAATAAAAGTACACAGATATTTGCAAAAATCTGTGATGATGGCACCCTCGTGACCTCTTCTTTGCCTGACCAAGTATGCAGCCGAGGCCGATGTAGGTTTCAGATCTTTTTTTTTTTTATTATTTTTTCATTCAGAAGACATTCATTTTGATACAGTAGAAAGAGAAAAATAACCTTTCCAAGGCTTTTACGAAAATAGCTTTTTAAAAACAAAATCTGTCAGTGCAGAAAAACACAAAAATAAGTAAAATCAAAACAAATAGAAGGCAATACAATTATTGAGACTCTTCACATGTAAACAGATTATATTGTGTTGCGGTGTCACTTCTTTCTGCCAGTAGAATTCAAGATTGGAAATATTTGTTTAGCTCATTTTTTAAACATATTAGTGACGGGATTTATTTCTCCATTTGCTGGAGTGAATATGATATTTACCCAGTATAATTATTATATTTATGAAATTTGACAACAAAGGGGACTTGTCTTTGAAATTTCAAAAATCAGTTCTTTGTTAAAGAATATATATATATATATATATATACTGGACATAAGTGAAAAAGATGTTCAATTAGATTGGCCATTTCATATATTTTACAGGTTTGGCTGAGATTCTTTGAGTTCATTTTGCCGGTTCTTATGTTGCTAGTTATTAGCTGAGATCGATGAAGAACATTTCTTTCAATCTACAGCTTTTATATTTACCAATTCGAATGTCTGGTAAAGTTATCTTCACTTCTAAATGTGAAAGTGTATTTTTTATTTGTTGAGCTCAGGGGAGCTGAAATGGCATGACATATTCTTCCGTATTCTATATACCAGTGATTCCCAACCAATGTGCCATGAGAGATCAGCTGGTGTCCCGTGTTATCCTAGACCAGTGGTCCTCAACTAGAACTGCTGTAGGTCCACTTTTTTTTTTT